ACACACACACACACACACACACACACACACACACACACACACACACACACTCACAGAACACACTAGTGATGTCGATACTGAAATATCGATACTACCGATACCAGAACTTTGTGTTCTAGAATCGATACTAAAATCAAAATATCGATACTTTGATACTTTAGTTATTTCACATGATGTAAATCATTAATAGGAAAATAGTGGAAAATAACTAAACTATTCCAATCTTGTTTAAATCATATGTGGTTGGAGGGAACTACTTTTTCTTCTGCTTGAGTAATGCATAAGCACAGCTCAGTCAGTCACTCAGTCTGTACATGTATGGCAGGTCATTTTAACATAAAATCTGCTTCTTCTGACTGTCTGTAATTAGATTCTAGATGAGGGGTTCCCAAACTTTTTAATGCTATGGCCGCCCAAACAGCATTAGCTCTGGCCAAGGACCTTCTTGCAAACACACAAACAATGCTACAAAATATACAAAGTAACAACTTTTAGAATATTTTTTCTCACTTTTATTCACTATTTAAAAATTATTAGATTTCTTTACAATAAGAATTGTGCAAAACAAATGTAGGATTAGGGTTAGAAAGACTTCTAAATTAGCGGTTACCAGACACATTATGTGTGTTATCACAAAGTATCAGTATCAGATCAGTATCGCCAATGCCAGCCAAATTTTACTTGGTATCAGTATCGAAAAGAAAATTGACAGTATCGAACATCACTAGAACACACACTCAGAATACACACTCACAGAACATACTCACTCAGAACACACACTCACTCAACTCTAACAAACTGCTCGTATGGCTCCCTGTTTGCTCGCAGCTCTGTCTCTGTGCTCACAACCCACATGCAGTGTAAATGAACCACATCATAACCCACATGCAGTGTAAAATGAACCACATCAGCAGCCAATCACACAGGGTTTTTTCATCCAATCAAAGTAGACTACTGAACCAGGAGGAGGAAGTGACAAATCCTTATATTTATTAAACAAAAGATGATGATATATTTTAAATTTTGTAGCCCACGAATATTTAGTTCAGCATACAAATATACTGTTGTTGTACATTTTAGTTAATATTTCTAAATTTCTTTAAGGTTTATTACTTGTTGGTTTGGATATTTGTATGTATTCAAATTTATTTATCAAAATAGTCCCTCTTCTTTGCTGATATTCTGTTATATCAAGAGTGCTTAGTAGAATTTGAATATCTACAAATATTATCAAAACCAACAAGTAACACCAATACAGATAACTTAAAAATTACCTCTGGTCATAATGCTTGTTGATAGTAAAATTCTGTTGGTTCAAGAAGATTTTTGGTAGCTTAATGTTTAATAATATGGTGCAGTTCTTATGTAGGTACACTGAAAAAATAACTTGTAAGATTTACTTGAAAAAAATCCTCTAACAAATTTGTGCTAATGTTTGTTAAGTAAATTAAAATGCTACAAATTCATGTAATATTTACTCATCATCATCTAGTAAAAGTTATTAAGAATATAGTTAAAGATTTGTGAATAAATCAGGTAAATTTTACTTAATTTGCTCAATTAAATCTTGTAACATATACTTGATGGTGTATGGTGGCAGTGTTGAAGAACCTTTATTGGATTCTTCTTCATGAACAACACAGACAAAGTGAAACTCACAGGTCTTATTAATGACTACTACCACTCTCACTTATGGTTACTTCTGGTGAACGGTTTAACACAAGTTAACAAATAATGAACACACAAATTAGAGTAACACAACAGACTAATTGCTGAAAGAACAACGTTACCCTATTCCCTAAAATGATTTAACAACAACAAACATGAATCCTACCCACAATCCTCCACTGCAGTCACATGACAAACAGCCAAACACAGCAGAATGCTACAATATGCATTCCCTGTTCCCTGACAACTAAATATCACCTACATTAAGCCATCAAACTATTGCACACCAACAAATGTATTCAAGCAAAAGAAACCAGACAACTTATGTTTTATTTCCACCATGTCTTGTCCTCTCCTTGAAAAGTGAAGCAAGGGAATGAGGAGCAGCAGCCTTTGTGTGTGCATGCACCCTCAGTTTTAGTCCAGAAGAGTAGAAGTTACTTAATATTTTCATGTTTATGTGCTGTCCAGAAAAAACACTGAAATATTACTGGTAAAATAATATTAGCCTTTACTTTTTTGTACAGTAATATTGATATATAATACTGTATAATGTGTATTGTTTATTTAGTAAATTATAGAAGTTTAGAGATTTTGATATTTTTTGTAAAATTTAAAAGAATAATTAAATAAATGTTACTACACCCAAAAATATTTTTTTCAGTGCATAAAGGAAGGCTGAGGGTGAACTGAGAAATGGCACAAAGAAACAGAGACAACTGGAAAGAAGCTAAACTAAGATGTTCACAGAAATAAAACCAAAACACATCAGACAGAAGGTCAAGAAATGATGCACGTAAGTCAAAATGTAACTTCCTGTTTTCAGTAGGCAAACTTCAAATAAAGGAGGATTGTTTAAACATTTTCTATGAGGTGCTGTTTAAGTGTTTTGCCATGCCCATACATTGTGTTTATTTCATGTTTTGGACAATAGTTTTTTCTGTGAAATCTGGTGTACATTGTATTAATTTCGTGGAAGTCGAAATCATATTTCAAAGATCAAAGTTTGTCGTACATCTAAGACTACACCCACAAAATGTCAGTTTTTACTACCAAGATATGTCAACATGGTATCTGTTATCTGTAAAAGTTGAAGTTGTTGTCAGCAGGTCAAAGAACGACTGCCGTGAGTAAATCATGTGACTTCCTGTTCTCAGTGGGACTGAGGCACTGCTGGCTGCGTCTCAAATCAGGGATTGCAGCCCATGGAGTGTGAATTTTTAGGCCACATCACTGCACCATGTTGTAGGCTCCTTCCCATGTGGCCCACAAAACCCCTAAAACGTAGGCTGCATCTGAGTAGACTGCATGGCAGACACTATCCCAGGACTAATCGTGGGCCCCACAGGTTGGGAACCACTGGTCTAATGTACACAAAAACTGCAAGAAGATGTGGCTGTTATGGATGGACCAACAAAGAAAAATGGAAAAAATGTCTCCTTTCAAAAGTAAACAATTTTTACATCATTTACCTCAATGTGAACATGATCTGACCAGAATTGATTAATGTAACTGTTTACAATAAAAACATACTTATAAAGCAGATGTTAACCAGAACTGTAAAGCAGTTATGACCAGGGTCCAAGCCTGTGTATGCATCTTGTCCTTACTAGATAAGTAACCTTTAAAGTTTGTTGTCATCTCTCAGGATTTTGGAGAAATATATTCCAAAAACCAACAAAAATACATTTAAAGGAAAAGCTTTATGACGTATTTGGACTTGATGTTTCTCTAAAAATACACAGTAAAATTAGGACATTTTAATTCTAGTTATAGTGTAAGTAACCATTTGATACAACATGAATAGTTTTTGTTACCTCCTAGCATTTGGTAAAAACAAGTTCTAAAAAACACATTTACTGGATAGGCATTATGAAGTACTTTGACTTTGTGTTTCTCCAAAGACAAGTAAAACGAGTAAGTATTGATTTTAGTTATAGTGTAAGTAACCCTTGAACATAATATGAAGGGGGTTTGTTGTCAACTCTGGATTTTGGAGAAATGAATTCTTAAAAATGACAAACAGAGAGAAACTGTATGAGAAACTGATTTAGTGTATTTCCAAAAAATACACAGTAAAAATATTTTTCTAGTTATAGTATAAATAACTCTAACATAGTATGAAGAGAGTGTGTTGTCATCTATCAGAAAAATAAATTCCTAAAAATGAAACAACATTGCCTGGATAGGTGTTGTGAGGTACTTTAGCTTGGTGTATTTCCGAAATTATACAGTAGAAGGATGAAATATTTAGTCTAGTTATAGTATAAGTAACCATATAAAATAACATAAAAAAATTGTTGTCATCTCTCAGAATTTGAGGAAAAAAAATCCAAAATATGACAAAATACTTTTACAGTATAGGTTTGGATGGGAGTCACTATAGTAGTATTTATTTGACCATGAATAAACAGGAATTTTCATGAAGATCAAATGTTTTCAGTGTCTGTAAATTTAGTGTTTCATGGCAAGAAGAGTAAGTTTAATGTGTAGCCACACCTGCACCCTTTGATGAAAACTCAAAACACTTTTATAACTTTTAATCTCCCATGCACTAATAGTATTCTGACCAAGATCGAGGCAAATCCTTTCAAAGTCCTCAGAGGAGTATGAAACCTTAAAATTACATTTTTGATCTAAAATGTCTGACTTCCTCTAAAGTTTAGACAACTATTCCAAAGACTTTTCTGTGAGCGTTGGTGAGTTTTACATGTTATCATATCAGACCTCTGATAGTCAGTATTTGTGCTGCTAAAATAGGTTGGGCTGTTGAGCCATTTTACCAAATTAATGAGTAAAAATCTATCTGAATAAACTGAGAATAGTTTAAATGTATTTGAGTTAATGCAAGCATAACAACTGGTTAAAATTTAAGCAATTTAATTATGATTTAGCTGTTTCATTTACCCCAAAAATAAGTGCAAAATCATATATCAGTTTTATTATTTAGATTTCAACAATGAGCTTTTACAGGTTGTAATCAACTGTTCTTCTAGGGACCTAAACCTGTCCCTCTGTATCTGTTAATGTTCCTAACATTGCTCAGATTTAATTTCCATAAAAAAGCAGTGAGAATACTTACAGGTTCCACAGTCATCGCAGAAATCACAGAGACCAGTCTGAAAATCGGACGGTGCATATCCGCCTGGTTGGTTGGTCACAGCCATGATCACGATCAAAACTTCTCTCTGTTACATGAAAAATGGTTTCTTTTTCACTTAAAAGTTCTTGCTTATTTTGCAAACATTACTTCTGTAGTTAACCCCACTCAAAGTTTCTCCTGTTTGAACATCAACATTGTGGAAACAGAGATCAGAAAAAACCAGTCTTACCAGATGGAGGCTGGTGAAATGTTGAAGGAGTTTCTTGGACTGACAGCAGGATGGAGATCCAGCCTTTATGACAAACCACAGGTGATCAGTGAGTTGTAATCACCTTATTTATCTGATTGTACCGTGACGTTTCCGGTTAAAGAGTTCAGCAAACACAGCTACACACACCTACACACACCTACACACACCCCACTCTACTGCAATAAACCTCCAATTTGTCATTTCCTGTCTGCCTGTTTTTTTCATTAAACACACGTGGCATATGAGAGGTTACATCAGCATAAATGAAATATTTCTTACATTCCAAGTTGTATTTGCACTAAATCAGAAACTGATTGACTAGTTATTATTTCAAACATGGTAGAATAAAAAATTTAAAAGGAAAAGACAATATTAATTATAAATAAATAAAAACATAGGTCAACCTTTACAATAAAAAAAACTCAACATTATGTATAAACATAATAAATCTTTCCCCAGTGCATTTTTATTGGCCTTATTTCATTAGTTTGTCTATTCGTGATGAGCCATCATTTAACACAATTATGAAATTGTTTTAAATTGTGTAAAAGGTAAATACAAATAATGCAATAATTGGCAAATTTAAAAAACCCTGGTTTTAGTCACAATGGAAAATAGCAAACGTATCAGTTATTTGATAATGCAGCTGCTAAACCTGCATCTTGTTTTTGAGATGTCACATTGTGTTTCACACCAGCACTGAGGTCTGCTTCACTACTGATTTGGTTCAGTGTTTGCCTTATTTCTGAAAATTTGCTTGTGTGTGAAATGACCTGATCCACCTCAGTGATCCAGGTAGAAGAAAAAAGTTAGGTAGGTTCTCTGGATGGGTTCTTCTTTAATGAAACATTTTGTCACTCCTCCAAGAGACTTCTTCAGTCTAAAGAGTTCCAGGTAAACTCAGCCTTATAAGCTCCGCCTCCAAATGGTGGACAAACAGGTTTAAAGATGGCAATCAAAACTTTTTCTTTCAAACATATTATTTATTAAGGTATTTTGTTCTTTATACACAACAATAACATCACAACTTCAAGGCACATATAAAAACAGACTTGACTAAAAAGAGAAAATAAATGAATAAGTGCTCAGTGGACAGGTGGAAATGGTAGTGATATTATACCAAAAGGAGGATACAAACTTTGTACCACTCACATGATCATTATTTTGATTGCATGTTTTTTGTTCTTTGTTATTTTATGTTACAAATGAAATGAATAAATTTCTAAATAAATAAAATAAATAAAATTATAGTGATGTAACACATAGGACATTTATACATTGTTACAATTATCCCATATCCTCAATCTAAATGAGTAGTCGTGTTGCATCTTCAGAGCATCAAAATAATAGTAATTAAAAAGTAAAAACAAATGAGTAAAATAAAAAATAAATTAAAACCTAAAAATTGAAAAAAAAGGGTAAAAAGTGGTAGGGGACAGGAGGCTCAGCACTTACAGAACCTCATTCTTCCAGAAATCTATTTCAATATTGTTATCTCTACAAAAATTACAGAAAATACTCCAGATCTTTGAAATTTTGGCCAATTTATTTTTTTGTTGTGGAACTTATCTTCTCAAAGGCCAAATACAGATGCACTGAAAAATTTTTTTTGGGTGTAGTAACATTTATTTAATTGTTCTTTTAAATTTTACAAAAAAAAAAATCAAAATTTCTAAACTACTAGAATTTGCTAATTAAACAATACACATTATATTATATATCAATATTACTGTACAAAAAAAGTAAATGCTAATATTATTTTACCAGTAATATTTAAGTGTTTTTTTCTGGACAGCACATAAACATGAATATGTTAAGTAACTTCTACTCTTCTGGACTAAAACTGAGGCTGCATGCACACACAAAGGCTGCTGCTCCTCATTCCCTTGCTTCACTTTTCAAGGAGAGGACAAGACATGGTGGAAATAAAACATAAGTTGTCTGGTTTCTTTTGCTTCAATACATTTGTTGGTGTGCAATAGTTTGATGGCATAATGTAGGTGATATTTAGTTGTCAGGGAACAGAGAATGCATATTGTAGCATTCTGCTGTATTTGGCTGTTTGTCATGTGACTGCAGTGGAGGATTGTGGGTAGGATTCATGTTTGTTGTTAAATCATTTTAGGGAATTGGTTAACATTGTTCCTTCAGCAATTAGTCTGTTGTGTTACTCTAATTTGTGTGTTCATTATTTGTTAACTTGTGTTAAAGCGTTCAGCAGAAGTAACCATAAGTGAGAGTGGTAGGCCTAGTCATTAATAAGACCTGTGAGTTTCACTTTGTCTGTGTTGTTCATGAAGAAGAATCCAATAAAGGTTCTTCAAAACTGCCACCTGGTGGTGAAGTCTTGAACTACAACAAGAGCTACACCTCTGTCTGTAGCTGTGAGGTGTCATGCTACAATATTGTGCTTGATGCATGTGCACTGTTATAAATATCTTGTAAGATTTACTTGAAAAAATCCTTGTAACAATTTGCACTAATGTGTTTTTTAGGTAAATTTAAATGTTAGAAATTCTTGTAATATTTACTCATCATTGTCTAGTAAAAAATATTAAGAATATAGTTAAAGATTTGTGAATAAATCAGCCAAATTTTACTTAATTTGATATGTTACAAGATTTAATTGAGCAAATTAAGTAACATTTACCTGATTTATTCACAAATCTTTAACTATGTTCTTAATGCCTTTTACTATATAATGATGAGTAAATATTGCATGAATTTGTAGCATTTAAATTTACTTAACAAACATTAGAGCAAATTTGTTAGAGGATTTTTTTCAAGTACATCTTACAAGTTTTTTTTCAGTGTACATTCCTTTTAACCATTGTGTTATGGTACATGTGGTGTCAGTTTGCCACATAAGGGCCATTTACCACCTGGCCTCCAAAAACAGATGTTCACTGAAGAGTGTATGCTTTTATAAGGGCCTGAACAGATGTGCAATCAACATATTTTTGGGTTAAGAAACACCTCTTCTTCAATTATTTGACTAATAATTCTTAACACTTTCTTCCAAAAGGTAAATATTAAAGGTTATTCCCACATGCAATGGAATAAAGATCCTTTATGATGCTACAACGTGTCAGGGATGGTAGAGATAAAACGTTGCAGCTTGGCTGGTGTAATATTCTATTTGTGTTTATAGTTTGTGTTTGAGCTAAACTACATGCTTCTGACCATTCTTCTTTTGATGTATTTTCTTACAGGTCTATCTTCCAGGCTTCTAAAGTATTATGTGATGATTCTGAGTTGCTTACAAACAGGTTATGCAACAAAGAAACCAAAGAGTTCCGTATGATATTTTTTTCTAAAGTAGAGAGGGGAGGTATTTTCAGACTGGTACCTTGACTGCCTCAAAACAAAGCTTCTCAATTGTAAATATTTTAAGAAATGTTTTGAAAGTATTGCATATTTAGATTGAAGTTCTTCAAATGTCATTAAGAATGAACTTTCATTGTAAAGGTCTGATATCTTAAATCTGCTCTACCTGGTTTGAAATTGTTATTGCCAAATATAGGAGAAAATTGTGACAATCTGGGAAGCTCTCCCAAATATTCCCCGATATTTAACGAAATTCTTAGGGTGCTTTTGAGAATTGTTTTTTGTCTGTTTGATTAGCTTGTTCGTATTTGCAGAATGCATGTATAGATTTAGGGGCTCAGTGATTAAATGAGATTCTAATGCAATCCAGGATGAAGGAGATACATTTTCAAAATCTGATTTAAGCTGCTCAATAGTACCGCTCTAGGCTTGGTAGCTGTAACCCACCATGTGTGGCAGATACAGCAGTGACAGCCTAAGCCTGGGAGGTTTGTTGTTCCATACAAAATTAGAGAAAAGCTTTTTCATGGAAGGAAAAAAATGACTGGGGAGGGGAAAGTGGAATAGACTGGAAAAGGTACATTAGGTTTGTTCATCTGTTCACAAGCTGAGAGATCTTATCTAACATGGAATTATCAGAATCAGAAGCATTTATTTCATTCACACACAACATTAAAGATGCAATGCAGAATGAAATTACAGTTTAGAACATCTGTACATGACAAACATGGGGGAACCAATGTCCACGGTCTTTTGCACTACGGTGCGCTACCTTTTGCAGCTTAGAAGACACACACAACAGGAAAGGTGATTTAAAAAAAGATGCTCTGATCCTGTGTTTTATACAGAAACACAGAAACATGTGCTTAAAAAAACCACTCACGCAACAAGTCAGCTAAGGAGGGGAGGGGGCTGGGGGGTCAAACACATGGTATGGGGTGGGATTCAGCGGAGCCGGTGACATTTCAGGTTAATACTCCGTGCTGGAACCAATCAAAGACCTCCAGAGTCAAAACACTTTGTTGTCAACCAAAAGCACAAATCACCAGAGTCAGTTCTGTCTCCACCCATTGTGGCCTTCAAACTGATCCACCCACGAGTGATACAGGTCAGGGATGGGGAGTCAAAGCCTTTGGCTACGTTCACACTGCAGGCAAATCCGACCCAAATCCGATTTTCTTGACCCATCTGACTCATATCCGATTTTTTTACGACAGTCTGAACGAGACAAATCCGATTTTTTMAAATCCGACCCAGGCCGTTTCAGTATGTGGTTTTAAATCGGATANRKRTCTRATGTTTTCAAAGTGACTGCAGTGTGAACGCTCATGTCACATCCATCTGACTTTTTCATCAGTGAGGAGGGGGTGAAGGATCGATAAGAAACTAACCTGAAGTCTCGCTGTTTAAATCTGTAGCTCCGTGTGTTTACAGCTCCAAAACACAAGTCCAGTTGTTTCATCTTTTTACTTTTCATTAGTATGACAACAACGATGTCTAGCCTGGGTCGTGGAGAGTATCAATCCTAAAGTTAGCTACTCGGTCGATACTTTTTTCCAGCTCGTAGTTTCGTTCAAAAAAAAAAGGCTTCGCTGGAGCATCCCGGTCAGAGGCAGSTTCAGATATAAACACTGAACTAAAGAAGCAGGTCAGATAATTATTTAATCGGCTCTGATTAAACATCGACTTCCGATTCGATGTGCAAAATGTAGCATCCATGCTAGCTCTGTAAACAAACAAGCCGGCTGATGAGACGTCACGTCTTTTACTGCGCATGCGTGTCACATCAGTGCTGTGTAGCGTTCACACAGGGGTCTGATGC